TGTCTAGGGAATGAACTGTGTTAAGAGAAACCAGCTGGGCCTGATTCACACTGTTAAAATGTTTGAACAAAGGTATGACCGAACACTGCAGACTTATATTACATTGAATTGCAGTTGGGGAAACTTTCAAAGTCGCTTTGAGGGCATAGGATCTTTTGAAATCACTGGATTGAAAGATATAAATGTGTAGATCCAGTAAGAGGAGCTAGGGCTGTGCTTCTGAATTTGGCATCAGGGCTGGCGGCCCTGGAGCCGCTGTCTAGCAGGGAGAGACTGAATGGTGTGTCTGCTCCATCAGGCAGACATTGTGTTCCTACCTCCAGAGAAAGCCTTCAGCACGCTGATTGGGTATCTCCATTTTTTTCAGCTCCTCATGTGACGTACCTAAGTAAAGACCCATCAGCCCCATGTTCACTGACCGATGCTCTGGATCACTTCCAAGTGGACAGCCTGGATGAAATCATTCCAAGTGACATGAGGAAGAGTGACCTACCTCCTCAGCACGCCCCCCGCAATATCACTGTGGTTGCCATGGAAGGCTGCCACTCATTTGTCATTGTGGACTGGGACAAAGCTTCCCCAGGAGATGTGGTAACAGGTGTGTCTAAGGCAGATGCTCAGAGTTTTCATCAACTTGTAGGTGGGAAATAGATAATAAGAGATGGGTGGATGACGGATGGATGAAGGATGGATGGATGGATGGATGGATGGATGGATGGATGGATGGATGAAGGATGGATGGATAGATGGATGGATGGATGGATGGATGGATGGATAGATGGGTAGATGATGGATGGATGGATGGATGGATGGATGAAGGATGGATGGATGAAGGATGGATGGATGGGATGAAGGATGGATGGATGGATGGATGAAGGATGGATGGATGGATGGATGGATGGATGAAGGATAGATGGATAGATGGATGGATGGATGGATTAGATGGATGGATTGTATGAATGAATGCAGATGTCTCCTTTCAAAAAGGTGAAATATAGGCAACAAGGGAAGCCTCCTAGGACAGTATGAAGAGCACTGGATAGAAGTCAAATGTACTGAACCCTAGTCCTAGATTGGTTTGTATGACTTTCAGCTACTAACTTCATCTCCCTGGACCTTGGTTTCCTCCTACGTAAAGTACTGTTACATTTTTTCCATTCTGTAATTCTACAAATGGCTAAGGAGTCCACGTAGCCACTTGTAAGATTAGGTCCTGCAGCATGGGTGAGGAAAGAACTCCTGCTATGTGCCACCCGTGTGAGAGTCAACCCAGTGGATGTGACTCTGCCTCTTCCTGACTTTCCATGCATTCTGGGTGCTTCCAGATCAGTCTTGGTGCCTCTGATTCCTTGAGTGGGAATTGGATGAGATGGAAGATGCCCAGGCATCTTGAGCCTCCGAGGTCTTGGTCTGTGAGATCATCATGAGTTCGTCTGACTGCCAAGGATATAACAGAGAACTCTGTTGAAATAAGTTGTTACAGAAGAGAATTGATATTTTCTTTGAATAGAGCCTGCCTTTGCGAGTGATTTCTTCTGGGTCCGCAAGTTGTAGAAGAGGAAGGAATATGTGTATGTTGGTCAAAGTTTGACATTTTATCTGTCACTATTATGTTGGTGCAGTTCATCAAAGTCAGAATTTCTAGTGCTTTTGCATTATGTCCCTAATATGATCTCTTAAAATGAGAAAAAATTTTCAAGAACATCCAAAGAGTAACTTTGCTCGTGGAGTTTGCACAGCAGCCCCAAAACCAGGCAAATACGCTCCAGGTATTTCTCCAGGTGAGGTTGATGCACCCAGGAGAGCGATGAGGGTGCAGGATCAAGGAGCCTGAGCCTTTGGTGTAACTATGAGTGCAGGTCACCAGGCGTGCATGCCACGTGGGCTGCTGCGGTCAGTTTCCGTGAAGTCCAGCGTGTTCCTAACGAAACCAAATAAACGAAATGTTAAGGTGGAGAGCTTGCGATCCAAACACCAAGAAAATCCTTTTCTTAATTGAATACAGTTTTATGAATGGCAATTTTTAACAGCAAGCCAATAGGCATACAGAAAAAACAATGGAAAACCTTACCTGAAGCTACTTAGCTTTCGATCACTTGCATAACAGATGTTACCTAACCTAAGTGTAGGGCTGTGCCCCTGAGCCAGGGGCATCTGAGAAGCCTGGCTGCAGGAGATGAGTGCTGGCCGCACGAAACGGGCCTTGGGGGCTGGTGCATGAGGGGCCTTCCAACTCCCAGTGAGTGTCTTGGGACTTAACTCAGACACGATTTTTGTATTATCCTGTGGCTGGCGTGCTTCTGAATCATGTGCTCCTGTTAACGTGGCGTCCCCAGCTGTCCAAAGCTCCCCGAACCAAACCTCAGCTCCCTGATCACGAGTACCCATGCCGGCAGCATAAATATCATATAAATATAAATATGGACGAGGTATTTGTAAGGATTTGGGCACTTCCTCCTATAGAGTTGCGCTCACTCCTGCCAAGGCGATTACTGTGGAACGTTTCAGCATATGACAGCCCTGCAATGCCCAGGAAAAGCAGCAGACCCCAAAAGACGAAAAGGGAAAAAAGTGGGGGCTCTTCACCAGGAGACGAATCAAGTATCGACTCTTTCTCCCACAAAACAACAAAGCAGTACAGATATGTAGATACCTCCTCGGCCCAAACAGAACATCGCACGTTGGGACCGTCTGCCGGCGCTTGGAAACTGGTAGCCGTGAGAGATGCTGAGTGCTCTGCCGATTTTCACCGGCCATCTTTCTTTCACAAGTAGTCAAGCCAGCTTGTGCTAAGGTGATGTCCACACGATAGGACCTGTGGCCAGCTGCTTTCTCTGATCTCTCCTGATGGATGAAGTGGTTCCTCCGTTAGGAGTAATGCCACAGGAAATAGCTGATGTGCTGGACTCTTAGTTTTTCCAGACCAGCTCATCAGCCTTGCAGGACTGGCTAAGAACAACAGAGAAATCAGAAATCACGCGAGCTCATCAAGTACGTTGTCAAAACCCTGAAGCCTTCACGATCCAGACACAAAGATAAACAGAGAAACCTGTGCACCACCTGGGAGGGAGCACAGGGTCTGATGGAAACTGGTCAAGGAGGGTGCTCCATGCCAACCCCTGAGTGAGCCAGATCCAGACAGTGTTACGTACAGCATCACGATAAGCACATGTGGCTTGACATCTCTGTCATCAGAGGAGGAGGGATCTTATGGAGGGAGAGGCAGCTCCTCACAGGTTCCCACACAATGTGTGTTGAAAAAGAGATGAATTACAATCGGAACAGTGTGGAAAGGGCTTCAGAGCCCGGTACACCTGCTTCCGGCCCCAGCATGCCAATTAGTTAGCTGTGTGACTCTAATCCATTCTATTAATGTCACCAAAAGACCTCTGTGCAGGTAATCGGCAATAGCAGGTTGCTAAATAAAGCCTTTTGCCTCTTAGATGCTGCTGACCTTCTCTATCTTCTTGACCTGTGATCCATCCAATTCTCTCCAGCTCTGAGACTCTCACGGGCTTACCCTCTTTGACCCAACATCAAATGTTGGAACTTCTCGAGGCTCGGTCCTAAGTCTTCTTTTCTTCCTGCTCTGCCTTCTCTCTCTCCAGGGTCTTACTCAAGCACATCTTGATTTATAGCTCAAGGCCAAGTCTGTCTCTGCCCTGTCCTTCAAACAGTAAAATCAGGTGCCTCCTTGACATCATCACAGGCTGGCATCAAAGCATCTCAGACTCAGAGTACCCAAAAGCATCTCAGGATCCTGTTGGTCCCCATTTCTCACTATTAACTACCATGGTACCCCGAGCTGTTTGTCTGTCTGCTCTGCTGCTCCTTGAGCTTTTGGTCACCACTCTATCTCCACTCTGTCTAAGAACTAGTAGGCATGCAGTAAATATGTTAAATGAATTAGTGAATGTGCACTTGGACAAGATGTTTAGCCTGTCTCTAAGATTCAGTTTCTTTATGTGTCAAAATGGAGATGGCGATACATGTGTAGTAGGATCAGGAAAATCAATCGAAGTTAAACTTAATCGAAAGTGTTTAGCATAATGTTTGGCACATAGAAAATACTTGAGAACTTTTTTTTTTTTTTTTTGCATATAACATAAGAGACCTAGTGCAAAGGGTGTGTGCAGCTGTGACGTGAACTTCACCTGGCCTTCTGGGGTAGCCTGGAAGGCTGGGCAGGTGTCAGGGCTGAGAGCTCCCCCTCTGAGCTCCATTAATGTCAGATGAGGCAGAGAGAAGAGCTGCCTGACTGCTGTCATAAGGCATCAAGGTCAAGGGCAGGCACAGGTGTTCAACAACTAGAAATCAAAGGACAAGCTTCACCCATGGATGAGGAGACCACTGTGAGTCTCGGATCTCTCAGCCACACACACCTAAATAGCATTCAACAGTTTCTTGTTTTGTATGAAGGACGACTATATGTCTCTACTAGGAAATTCTTTTTTTTCCTCCTTTTTAACAGTTTAAGTAAGTAGGTATACAATATTATATTGGTTCTATTAGTTTCGGGTGTACAGTATAGTGATTCGACATTTTTATACCTTACGATATGATCACCCCACTAATTCCAGTAATCATCAGAAACCGTACAGACTCATCATAATATTATTAACGACATATTCCCCTCCCCCCTTTCACCCATCTCTCCACCCCCTCCCTTCTGATAACTATCCTTTTGGTCTTTGTTTTTATGAGTCTGTTCTGTTTTGTTTGTTTTGTTTTGTTTCTGGAGTCCACATATAGAAACCATATGATATTTGTCTTTCTCTGACTTATTTCACTTAGCATAATACCCTCTCGATCCATCCACGTTGTTGCAAGTAACAAGATTTCATTATTTTTAATCACCGCGTAATATTTCATTCTACCAGGAAATTCTTAAGTGCTTCTGTGGAGGTCACTGTTCCTTTCCTCTGCCTTTCCTCTCTGCGCAGTCAAGATTAGATGTGATTTATTCTGAGGAAGCCCGGGGGATGTGGGAGATGAGAAGGAGAGAGGTAGGGAACGGTCAAATCTCAGGAAGTGTCTTTAATTTTGTTATGTGCATCTGGATTCACCAAAGGTACCAAGGTCACTCCACATCCTCACCCGGCACACAGCTTGTTCCCCTTCCTGAACCTCCCCCACAGAGCGGCCTCTGCAGCATCGCCTCGGCCCCATCCTTCACTGGGTTACGCCTCTTGTGTGATGTGGTTCCTTGATGCTCACTGGGTTCTTCTTTCCACATGTAGGTTACTTGGTTTATAGTGCATCCTATGAAGACTTCATCAGGAACAAGTGGTCCACTCAAGCTTCAGCGGTAACCCATCTGCCCATTGAGAACCTGAAGCCAAACACAAGGTATGATGTGTCAGTCATTGAAAAACAAAAAATGAGACCTGTGTGCATGGTTACAGATATTCATAGGTTGAAAATGAAAGGATTAATCAAAATGTTTCTAGGACTTCTTTTGCTTTCTCTCTTTAGTTCTCATAGAAAAATCAATAAACACTTACCATTGTCATGTATTTTTCTTTGAAATTACTACATGTACAGTAATTGTTAGGCTATTGTGTTGGTATTGTGTTCTCTGTTTTCCAGAGACTAAACACTACCTACCGTTGGGGAAAAAAGCGTTGTTCTCTGTGTTGAAAAGGAGTTGATCCGTTTGTAGCGACCCGCGTGGTGGCACTAGGCAGCACAGCCTTCATGTGTGACATTAATGGAGCAGCATTAATGGAACATTTTAATTAACTGGTATTCAACCCCTGTGATGCTGAAGCTTACACCACTAAGAAAGATACATTGTGCACATTAATAAAGGTTACAACTGTGTCTTCCTAACCCAGGCAGTGGCCAGCTAGCCAGAGGGCCACGCAGGGGCCGGAGGTTACGGCCCTCAGTGTGAAATATGCGAAACTTGCTCCCACGGGTAGAAGTGGCGTGTGCATTTCCTCCTCTATACTGTCTGCTTTTGATGGCAGTGGCCATCTAGGAAAGCCTCCTTGGCGGGCGAACATGGGCGAAACGTCAAGCACATGATGCTTGAGCAATGTGCTTGTAAATCAGCTCTCTGGGGGAAAAAAGTCCCTGGTTTTTGGTGTTTTCCAATTTCTGTAGTGTAAGTACTCCCACCACGGCCAGTTCAAAACCACCAATGGGCCTGCAGGATCTCTGAATATTTAACGATCGGCTCACTCGAGCCCATACAAATGGCTCCAGCGCATACTGTCACATCAAGTCACTATGTTTCCATAGCGAAGAACGCTAAGTGACAGGACTGTGGCCCCGAGGTCTCCCATTTTTCTATACAGTCAGGAGAACACGGAGAAGGTTAGAACAAAATACCATCTTTAAACAGAAATGTGCTAAACGGGATAGAAACTGGACGACAGCCCTGGGTACCGAGAGACTTCCGAACTAGCTGAGAACATTGCTCAGGGCGTTTTGCTGTGTCCCTTGGGTTCACTTCCACTGAGCTTTTATAAACTATTATGAATTTCAGGGTTTGGCAAGTGAAAAACGAGCGGCAAAATAAAAAATTGAGAGAACACTTTATTTTTTCCTTAATAGTGATGAAAAATTAATTAAAGGAAACAGAAACAGCACAGTTAAAGAAAATGAGGTCAACACCCGAGTTTTTTTATTGCATGTGGGGTGACAATGCTTTAACAGCACAGCCAGTGTCAAAAAGCCGAAAGGGGCCTCAGGGACGACTTGCCACGGAGCTCCTTGCAGATTTGAATCCCCATCTCCCGAGCTCCAGCCCCGAGTCCAAAGTCTTTCGACAGCTTTGGCTGCCAGACTGAGGTTGAGTTTTGAATAACGTCAGGAGATGGTTTTGTAGAATGAAGGTTTGTTCATTTTTTCAACAGATTCATTAAATAAGAACTTACTGTTTGCTCCGTGCAGGGACCCTGATATGCACCGGGGGTGGAACGGTGGGGGTCGGGTTAGGGTGATAAACTGCACCGTGGCCGTGTCCTTGTGTTGCTCACTAGTACTCAAACCCTGAGATGCTGAAGCTCACACCATTAAAGAAGGAAACAGATTGTTTTGAAACAACACAGACATAAACTTTCACTGCTCAGCATCCTGAGGGAGAAGCGCTAGGTGCTCTAAGTATATAACCGAGACCCTCCTGAGCCGGGGATAGAGGATCAGTCAGGTTGTCTTCTGGGAAGTAAGATAAGCAGCCAGTAGCCCGAGGGGGCAGGGTGGGTGAGGCCATCATTCCGGGCAGAAAGGATGTTCGATGAAGGACAGGAGGCCTCTGCAGCAGGAGCGGGCGAAGAGGCAGGAGGCTGGACAAGCAGGTCCCAGAGGGCCTGCGGAGTCCCTCGTGGCTTCTGTCCTGCCCTCCACCCGCCTTCAGCCCCCTGACAGCAGCTGCGGTTGCCGCCTTCTCCCAGGATGCTGCGCTTTCTCATCCTCCTGACGCGAGCGCAGTGCGTGTGCCTCCCCCACGCAGATTTCGTCAGAGCCCCTCTGAGCAGCTGCTGAGCATTCGCAGCTGGGCAGGTGTGACTGCGAAGCAAGGACATTCGTTTCTCCTGTGGGACCGTCATGCAGACCGTCTCTGGGGGACTCACTCTAGGAGTCCACGTGCTTCCTCCACGGAGTCTGCATCGCCCGTTCTCGTCCCGGTCCCCAGGGCTTCTCAGGAAGTGGCTTCAGAGTCCCTCCATGGAAGAGACTCAAGAGGCAGTGGAGTGAAGAGGAGCCAGGGCATCAAACTCAGCTGGCGTCCTTTACGATCTCGTTTTCAGCTTCACGTGCGCGTTATCCACTTTGTTATAACTTTCTGGAGTCTGCGTATTTTAATCCACACTTAAAGATTTGTCACTACGGAGTCATCCACGTTGCTCACCCAACTCAGCCCCAAATCGCTTTCTGGAGTCTGCGTGTTTTAATCCACACTTAAAGATTTGTCACTACGGAGTCTTTGGGAAAGAAGGGGCCAAACGCTTATATAAGAAGGCAAGGCACAGGTTGCCTTGGGTGAGGCAGAGACTATTCCGAGAATGCAATATATATTTTAGCTCGTAGAAAAAGCTTAATGTGGTTTTTGAAAATAGGAACTTTACTTTTTTTCATGATTCCACATTACTTTTCAGCTCAGCGTAATAAATTTACTTTGACGCATTAGGTGAAGTTCAAGTGGAAATATGTCTTTGGAAATGGGCCGCGTGGGCTTTGCGGAGGAGAGAATAACGGTGCAGACACGGAAGGTGGATTTGGAGAATACTCAGGTTTCAGCGGTGAGACAAATCGATACAGCAAAGACACCCGACGGGCCGCTCTTCATCGATGGGTCTTCCCTTCTCGCCTCCCGCCCGCCGCGGGCTCGGGGAAGTGGTATCAGCACGGCCCCCGCGGCGGCTCGAGAGACAAGGAGCGAAAATGTCTCTGCATGTAGCCTCCGGATAGAAGTGTCATTCCTTAGGTTTTGATTTCCTCTTTTTAAGAGGGAAAAAAAAAGTATCTGTGAAGTTGAACCAGTATCGTTGACAGATGCCAAACCCACGGCTCGAATGGCCTGCAGAGTTTTGCCTTAAATAACTCCGCAACCACCGAATAAAAGTATGCGTAATTGGGAAAACATGAGCTGCTGAGTGAAGGGAGGTTTGGAAACTCATGTGTTCGTAATTATGCATATCTTTCTTTAAAATACAGATTTAAAAAGGATTCTCTCCTTAATGAGATGTGAATGACTTTCTTGAAAGGCTTGCAAGAAGACTAATTTTACCAAATGGTTTAATTATTTCAGACATTTAAACCAGCTCTCGATTTAATCAGACACAAAGTCATGTCCTATCTCTGTGTAACTGTGAGGCCAGTGCCTCCCTGGCTCATCTCAGAAGTTCGAGGCTTGCTGCCAGGACCTTGGTGCAACAGACATATGCCTTTGCTCTCTGAATGTAAATAGTTCACCTTTTAGAAATTTAGTGCATTTTAATTAGTGCATGTGATCTGTGTCTTTGACTTAATCAGAAAATGTTATAACCTTGAAATGTAACCCCTGCCGGCCACTGCATGTGATCTGTGTCTTTGACTTAATCAGAGAATGTTATAACCTTGAAATGTAACCCCTGCCGGCCTGAAGCCATAGAAACAGGCTTGTCCCGAACTCTCCAGAATGGTGGAGAGCCACACTCATGGGATTGCGTACGTCCTTCTTTACCAGTCAGTGGCTGAGGATTAAGAGAGCGCAGATAATACCTGGAATCCCAGAGGGGAGGAAAACACAGCGATTAATAAGAGGGAGATACAGAGGGTCACACGGTGCCGTGGGAAACACCAGAGAGCGTTTCCCAACCACTGCTTTCTGTCCCGTAGCTCATTAGAGTATAAAGCCCGATGTTGTGGAGCCCCCGGCCTGCTCGGCTTATCGATCTCCCTCTAGATGAACTAACTGATCCACACAGTGTGCTTTCTAGCACATTCTCTGTTCCAAGACAAAGACGACTCCTACAGCTGAATCTCTCCCGGCCTTTTCCACTTCCCCTTCCTGGACTCATTTCTCTTTCCTGAGACACAGAAGTTTGAAGCTCAGCGCCTTTTAACGGTCCAGAGCCGGCCGTCGCAGTCATCACGTGCCCGAAACACCGTGGTCACGTTCGTTCCACCCGGGAGGCCAGCCTCTGGACCGGCTCGCCCCCTCTCTCCAACCCTCATCAGCTGCATCATTACTGGGTCAAACATCCTGCTTTTCCACACCGAGTCCAGTGATAAGAACGAGGTTAAAATGTGAATTCTGCTCCGTAAGTGACTGGCTGCTCCAAGTTCTCAAGCGGTGGAATTCGCACAAGGAGGGGCGTTTCCTCCAGGGACGTGTCTCACAGGCAACAACCCTCGATGCCTCGAGGGTCACGCACTCCCTAAGCGACTTATTTGCCCAACACGCCCCCTCTGTCCCATTAGCCCCATGTCGAGGCTGTAAATTGTATCACTTTGAATCGTTATTAGAAAATGAGAAAGTTCAGAAAAAAAATATGAAGAAGTAGCAGTGACGTATGCATTAGTAAAAAATGGGACTCAAACTGCCACAGAGGAGGTACGCAGTAGTTTGGGAATCTGTCTTCTTACACAGAAATTAAACAAGCTTCTCTTTCAAAAAATGTTTTCTTCCTTTTTCAGGTATTATTTTAAAGTTCAAGCCAAAAACCCTCATGGCTATGGACCTATCAGCCCTTCAGTCTCGTTCATTACAGAATCAGGTATGGTCGATTTCGCATTTTCATTTTTTCCTCCTTAAAAACAAGTAATTTGGAATAATGACTACAATAGAATCAAAACTAAAGAAGTGAAGTCCTAACTTTTCTATTTACTGAATTCATATCTTATATTGCAAACATTTTCTTTCTGCTAGGTTAAAACTTGGATAATAAAATTAAAAGTAGTCTTTATTGGAAATGACTGGAAAATGGAGAGGTCAAATTCCAATGAAAGGAGAAAAAAAATCTAGTTTTCAACCATGTGGGAAAGATACATTTGAATCTATCTGTAAAAGATTTTGTTGCAGAGATAATTTTTTTTTATTGCAAACAGCTGACAAATATAAATCTCTTGAGGCCTAAGAGGCAGTTGCTTCTAAGAATTAGGCAAGTCTCTAAGACATGTTCTCTACTAAGACTTGAAGATGCCTTTACTTAACATGGAGAGTTGAATTAAAATACTATGCATTCTTACAAGCAGCATCACCCAGAGGATGTCCCTGTGTTTGGGATGCTGGTGTGCAGCGCACTCAGGCTCTTCGATAAAATGCTCCTGTGATCATGGCCTGAAGCGGCACGTCAAGCTGGCCATGGTCACCAGCTCCTGGGTTAGCCACCTTGCCAAATAGGAAGCCACGTGAGAGAGCTGGGACCTGTAGCTCTAAGCCAGGCCTCCTTCACAAGCCCAACTGAGCCAGCTCCACTCTGAAATTGAGGCTCTAGCTTCTGTTTGGTTAGATTATTTTCTACATGCAGCTTAATCTCAGAACATTTGTCACGGGAAGATAATTTTAATTGGAATGATGTGAAATCTACTGAATCAAAATATGTGGAACAAACTTAAATCTTTTGTGAGAATATGTCTTATACTGGAAAAGTGGGCAAGGGACCTCAAAAATGTTTTCAACGATTTCATCTAAGAAGCGTGTTTCTCATTAGTAATTAAGAAAGAGTAAGAGAAAAACCATTATCAGTAGTTAATTTGCCAAAGTAAGGAATATGTCTGTTTATGCCTGCATTTCTTAAAAAAAAAAAAAAATGGACCTTTGGCAACTTTCACAATTAACATGATAAAGGTCTGTAGAAAAAAACCCAGTAATTCAAATATAAACAGCTCTCAAGAAACCAAGGTCCAAAATCTGAGAGTAGAAAGATATAAATGTAATTTCTGAGACTGCGCTGTGAAATTCTGATAAGACAGCTCTCTGCTTACCCACTTCCCAAGAAAAATCCCACCATACTCCCACTCCATTTTTTTGTGGCCTCCAAGGAGTAGGTGATGAAAATCCAGGGCACTCAGATTTCTGAAAAATACTCTCTTGGGTGAGGCTGCGGATGCTCCCTCTCTGTAAGCCCCCAGGCGATTCTCACGCACACGGAAATTTGACAAGTATCTGCTCTGGTCATCTTCACTCTATTCTGTCAGTTTGTTCAAGTCTCTCCTTCATTTTTTTTAATTTTTAATTTTTATTAAAGTATAGTTAACATACAATACTACGTTAGTTTTAGGTCTAAGACGTAGCGATTTGACATTTGTATACCTTACGATGTGATCACTACGATAAGTCTAGTAAATACTGTCACCATATAAAGTTATTACAATTTGATTGATTATATTCTCTGTACTGTACATTACATTCTCGTAACTTATTTATTTTGTAACTGGGAGTTTGTACCTCTTAGTCTATTTCACCTTTTCGCCCATCCCCCACCCCCTCCCTTTTGACAACCATCAGTTGGTTCTCTGTGTCTGTGAGTCTGTCCTGTTTCGTTTTGTTTAGCTGTTTTGCTTTGTTTTTTAGATTCCAGATATAAGTGAAATCATATAGTATTTTCTTTTTTTTCGGACTTATTTCACGTAGCACCTCTAGTCCATCCGGGTTGTTGCAGACTTCATTGATTTTTTATTGCTGAGATATATTTTATGGTATATATATGTCACGCCTTTATCCATTCATCTATCAATGGACAGTTAGGATGCTTTCATATCTTGGCTATTATAATCTTTTTTTTTTGGACTTATTTCACGTAGCACCTCTAGTCCACCCGGGTTGTTGCAAATGGCAAGACTTCATTGATTTTTTATTGCTGAGTTATATTTTATGGTATATATATGCCACGCCTTTATCCATTCATCTATCAACAGACAGTTAGGATGCTTTCATATCTTGGCTATTATAAATAATGCTGCTGTGAACATAGAGATCCATTTATCTTTTCAAAGTAGCGTTTTTATTTTCTTTGGATAAATACTCAGAAGCGAAATTGCTGGGTCATATGGCAGTTTTACTTTTAATTGTTTGAGGACCCTCCATACCTCATGCACTGTTGGGAATGTAAACTGGTGCCACTATGGAAACCAGTGTGGCAGTTCCTCAGACCTTCATTTTCTACTCCCTGATGAAAGCACTTACATTAGCAACAGAAAAGTCATCCGGTAATTAAATTATGGCATTGGCCAAACATGAGAATCAAGAAATTCCATATGATGGAATATATGACGTAAGTATCTGTGTGTAACAGGCTAAACCGTGGGTAAGCGTTTGTCGTTGTTTGCGTTGCTGCTTTATATCACCCCCTCCACCCACCCAGGGACAGCTGAGACTTTTCAGCAGGCTGCCAAAACTTAGCTTAGGATCAGGAGAGGGAAACAAGCCTTTACACTGACAGCTAATGGTATGCCACTTCGTTTTGTGGAGGGTGGATGATGTCAGAATGAAAGGTCTGTAGAAAGGGGCAGCACAAGGGAGAGTTGGCATGATGGAATTATTCTCGATCTTGATTGGGGTGAGGTTCCATGAGTCAATACATGTGTTAAAATTCATAGAATGTTTACCCCAGAAGAGCGATTTTACTCCATGATAATTGTTCACAAAAAAAATAATGGCTCGTGTTTACCTAGGCCACGGTATTTTATAAAAGTGAAATTTTTAGAAAACAGAAGTCCTTAAAAAGCTAGTTTCATAGTCTCTTAAGTGGCATTATTCAGGCTAAGATATGAACATGTTTTAAAAGCAGCTCTAATGAGGCATACATGGCCCACAGGAAGCTGCACATACTCACAGTGTCCAACCGAATGGTTCTGAGGTATGTTTACCCCCTCGGAGACGCCCCCACGATCGTGAGGGTGACCGCAGCTGTGCGATGCCGCCCTCCTGCCCTTCCCCGGCCACACATCTTCTCCCCTTTCCAGGCAATCACTGGTCTGCTTTCTGTCTTTAGAGATTCATTGGCACTTTCTAGAATTTTATATAAATGAACTAAACAGTATGAACTTCTTTTGTCTGGCTTCTTTTACTCAGCACGATTGTTTCAAGATCCATCCATATCGTTGTGTGTAGTAGGGTGACTGGTTTTTACATCGGCACCCACAAATATATGTATAAACATATATTTTAAATATATACACTGCTAAGAAATAAAAGTCTGTTCTCTTTCATTCCTTAGCAGTATTCTGCTGCGTGGCTGTGCCACGATTCGCTTATCCATTCACTTGTTGAAAGATATTGGGTTGTTTCTGCTTTTTGGCTATTAAAAATAAAGCTGCTATGAACATTCATGGATAAATTCTCAAGATTAGAATGGGCGGATTGCATAGTCGGTGTATATTTACCTTTTTAAGAAACCACCAAACTGTTTTCCCAAGACGGATATATTTTGAAACATAATGAGTATTTAGCGATTTTGTAGTACGTGGTGTCAAAATATTATCTTCGGAGACCCACAGCATCTATATAATAACAAGGTATTTCTCAAAAAGAAATAAAAACTAAGGACAAACGTTGGCATCTGTCGAATAAACCTTACGTTTTTCTTCACCTCTTGCGTTTTGGTTAGCTCTTCCAATTACAGTAAACATTTCAACAATTGCATGGTTGTGAAATATGATAATGAAGTCAATTATTTCTTTTTTATTCTACAGACAATCCTCTGCTTGTTGTGAGACCACCAGGTACGTTGCTCATCTTGATGAATTTGACACTCAGGTGATTGAGTGGAATATTGAATATGAGATTGTTATGATTACTCACAAGTAGAAATGCTCGATCATTTCTGCGTTTTTATAATTTTATGACAACTTCTATGGTTTCTTTGTACCTTTCATTCTAATCCAGGGAAAAAAATTATCTAGGAATTTTTTAATAGGGCCATAGCAGCCAATATCTATAAAAAAAAAACCATTATGAGTGGCCAATAGCTATGAAAATAGATAAGTTTATTTGCATGTAAACCCCTTTGACTATTTTAAATTGCTGAAAAGATATCAAAGTGCCTTAAGTGCACAACAAAATTTTACTTTGCTTTTCAAATAACCTGAGCAAGCCCCATTGCTTAAGTTCAGGACAAGGCCTTCAAGGGACAAGAACAGTCAGAACCTATGCCTAGGGACTTCGGGAGGAGGGAGGTAGGATGGTGTGCCATGCAAGGTCAAATTTGCCATGCTAGCTTATTTTTCTTAAGGCTTCAAGGCTTTCTCTTGTCCTGAGAATCCTTTAACTATGTTCAGATGAAAGGAACACCCCAGTTGTGTTTCAGTAGCAGAAAAGAAAGGGCAAGAGAGAAGGGGGTGCCCCCTGGGAAAGCTTTGCTCAGAAAAGCCCTGGGAGGGGAGGAGCGTCCAGTGAAGAAGTCAAAGTTGCTGGCACTCTGTGCAAGAGTTAACACTGCGGAACGCCAGGACTTAGAGGGTGTGTTTTTGTCGTCGAGGTGGTGAGCCCATCTGGATCCCATTTGCTTTCAAGCATGACCCTGGCTACACGGACTGCCACGGCCGGCAGTATGTGAAGCGGACGTGGTATAAAAAGTTTGTGGGAGTCGTTCTGTGTAATTCACTGCGGTATAAGATCTACCTCAGTGACAACCTGAAAGGTAGGTCTTTGAAGATGGTTGGCTATGGGAGGGTATGGAAAACTTTGATTTTATTAGGTACTAAGTTGACATAGCAGGTGCATCAGAACATATTTAGGTGTGGACCCATTATAACTCAGTCCGGCTCAAATACAAACCGGTTTTGCAGACTCTATTTTAGGGTGACTGGTTTTTACATCGGCACCCAGAAATATATATATATACATATATTTTAAATATTTTATATCTATTGCATTTTAAATATATTTTAAACACATCTATATTTTAAATCTACATTTTAGGAATAAAGTCTGAAATAATGTTTTAAATTTAAAGGCCAACTTTTTGCCATTAATTTAATAATAATTGATACGCATATAAGTTGGAAGTATTGAGAAAAATGACCCCCTTTATTCTCTGCCATTGAGACAACTTTAGAGAGAGAAAAAATGTAGATGGTGAAACATACATCGGCAGTACTCTTTGTGTCTGAATAAAAATTACATTGTTTTCATTATAGATGGGGATTAAAACAAAGAATACCATATGTCCATTGTCCACTGACATTTCAAAATGCCGTTTCCACCCAGCTGGCTTTGACTCGCCCGCCTACACAAATTTGTTTGAATTTCAAATTCGACACAACTTCTGATTTTTTAGTACATACATTTTTTTCAACTTTTCCTCAGCTGGTCTATATTTTGTTATGGGTCAGGGTTTTTTGTTGTTGTTTTGCTTTGCTTTTTTCTTGCTAGTGGTGATTATTTCAAGACAACGTGACAACAAAGTCTTCTTGGCCATCCTCCACTGTGACCATTTCTCAGTGTACATGCTTCTCTCCCAACACCCACGTCTCTGCTCTTTCTTTTCTCCTCCACCTCTGCCCTTTTCCTCTCCTGAATTCCTAGAAGTGGGTACACGGCCATCTCCAGTATCCCAAGGTTGAGAAAAACGACTTTGCCCTACTGTGCAGTTGTAGTTCAGCACCACGGACAGTGTCTCATGCCACAGAGGCGCACTCTACTAGTTCTGGAGGAAAATAGGTTCTTCTATTTTTATAGGTCTTCATGCTCTGAATCTACTAGTTTCCTTATTCTTTTATTTTTAGACGAGGAGTAAAAACGTCTACCATTTCTAGGCTGAAATTGCCTGTAAAATTAACAGTCTCCACTTAATGAACACTTGTTAAATATTTGGCATCTCTCTGAATCCTTTCAACGCTTATGAGGTTGGTGCCATTATCACCATTTTTCAAACATGGAAAGTATAACACACAAAGTTCGAGTAATGTACCCAATTCAAATGATCTCCAAAGCTCGTGCAGACTCCTAAACCATTTTTTTTCTTTTTTTGTCCAGTCACTGACCTGTTTTATTCCTTCATGCAGATACATTCTACAACATTGGGGACAGCTGGGGAAGAGGCGAAGACCATTGCCAATTTGTGGATTCACACCTTGATGGAAGAACAGGGCCTCAGTCCTATATAGAAGCCCTTCCTAACATTCAAGGTAATGAGAACAAACGTCTGATGTGTTACACTGCGGGGTGGGAGAAATCCACTGTGGCCTTGCCTTTGGTTTCCCATGTGAAGACAGATGTTGGCAACATTGTGGATCATAAAAATAAGGAGTCAACGAAATGCTCCTACTATGCGCTCGAATTGGGGTGAGCCTAGGGGAGGCAGGGAGAACAAAGGAATATAAAGGAATGTAGGACCTCACCCCTATTCTCAGGAAGATAGTCTATAACCAAAAAGTGAAGATAAATATGTGAAAGGTAACTAAGAGCATACAACTTAAAGTATAGATAATGACAAGTGTTATCACACAATTGTCCTCTTGTCAAGTAATTGTGCAGATTACAGTGACCATCTAAGTTCCAGGGAGGGCAGGCCACCTGAGGCTGTCAGGGAAAATCTTCAGAAGAGGCAGAATCTGGGCTTGTAAAGATATCTAGACAGATTAGAGGTCCTTCTAGGTGGAGAATGGCAAGAAAAAAAGTACAGAGGAAGAAAAAAGTAAATGCCAACCAGTCATGATATGTTTCAGGTGACAGCGTATCAACCATTCGATCGTGGCATTATAAGGTGCAAAGAAGTATATTCATCTCAAAAGTTAACAATTTGCTATGTGTTACTGACTCCCCCAACACCCCAAACAAACAACTAAATAAACAACAATTGAACGAAGAAGTCCAACACTTTTTCCATTATGCACTCAACTCTTAGTGATCTGGCATTTTCAAGACATGAGACTTTCTGATGTATCGACTTTTTTAGTTTGGAAAAAAATGGTACAAAATCACCCATTTTCAAAGAATTAAGATACAGTAAAATATGCAAAACAATAAAATAAGTGTATTAGTGAAGGTTCTCCAGAGAAACAGAACCAATGGAGGCAGAGGCAGAAGGAGAAGGAGAGAAAGAGAGAATGAGATTTTAAGGAACTGGCTCATATGATTGTAAAGGCCGGCAAGTCCAGAACCTGCAAGGTAGACCAGCAGGATGGATACCCAGGGAAAAGTGGAAGTTGCAGCTTGAGTCCACTGGCAGAATACCTCCCTCTTCAGGGGAGGTCAGTCTTTTTCTATTAGGGTCTTCAACTGATTGAATGAGGCCCACCCACATTATGGAGGGTAATCTGCTTTACCCAAAATCTGCTGACTTAAATGTTAATCTCATCTAAAAGACACTTTTATAGAAACACCTAGAATAATATTTGACCAAATATCTGGGTGCCATGGACTAGCTAAGTTAATACATAAAATTAACCATCAAAATAAGCCTATAAAATATATCACAGTTCTTCATTTTTTCAGGATCTTGCAGTACCCCAGGGTTACTATGCATTATTTGAATTGCACTGTGTTTCTGTGACTGTGGTCATGACTTTGGCTCTGTACAGAGGTGCTGGTGAATCGATACACTCACTGGTAGAAGGGCAGGTAACCGCTCATCTGGCAGGGCTCAACCGGGCCAAAGGGTGAGAGCAGTGGTTGAGTTACCCTAAAAAGTTTTTTTGAGGAGGTTAGGGCATCATTTCTACTTCAAAGGAGAAATGGTAACAAATGCTACAGCAGTCTTTCCTTTGAGAGATTTACTAGAAAGATCTAAGCGTCTGTCACAAACTCTAGAAAGTAAACCTTGGAGGCTCGAGGTCTGGGCCAAGTCCAGAGGCCCCAAGTTCTGCAAGGACTGATCAGGTGAGAATCTTGCCCCGGGATGAATGCTCCATAGTGATCTGCAAAATTATCTCGTTTTGTGGAAAGAGAAAGAGAGAGAGAGATCTAATGAACAGTCTCACACACGTGTGGGGATTGGATTACCACCCCCCTCGCCCCCTGGCCCAAACCATGCCTGGGAGGCACCTCAGAGGCTACTGTGACCTCACATAAAAATGACTGTGTTTATTTGGAAGCGACGTTTGTCATAAGAAGAGCTTATCAGAGGTCTTTGTGAATGAGGTTGTAAGGAGGAGAATTTTTCCTATTGTTCTGAGTGCTTTTGATGCTCTGATTCTACTCCCAATATCGGGCACAGGTTTTTCCCACACCAGGTAGGTGTCCTACAGTTGAACTCCATTCTGACACGACCTGGAGTAGCATCAGATCCCACAGGGTGAGGGCTCAGTCCATAAGAATGCCTCTCCTCACTGACTTCAGTCACGGGGATGAGTCCAGGTTGTCACCTGTGCTTCTGGCCGACCAGCTATGCACCCAAGGTTCCCACGCCCCCCCCATAAGAATGCCTCTCCTCACCGACTTCAGTCACTGGGATGAGTCCAGGTTGTGACCTGTGCCGACCAGCTATGCACCCAAGGTTCCCACGCCCCCCTCTGTGGGTTCTACTAAGTTGCTGGAGCAGCTCACCACATGCAGAGAAAACATGTCACTCACGAGATCACCAGCTTATTATAAAAAGGTGTAACTCAGGAACAGCCAGGTGGAAGGGGCGCGCAGGGCCAGGTGCGTGGGAACAGGCGCGGGGCTCCCGTGCCCTTTCTGGGTGTGCCACTGTCCCCGCGTCCCCACGTGTCCACCACGGAAGCTCTCCGAAACCCGCCCTCTTGGGTGGTTCTGGAGGCTTCTTTACACAGACATGCTTGATGAAATCACTGGCAGTTGGTGACTGAAGTCACCTCCAGTCCCCTCCCCTTCCTGGAGGTTGGAGGGTAGGTGGGTGAGACTGAAAAGTCCAGTCTTCTAGTCGTGTGGTTGGTTCCTCGGGTAACCAGTCCTCATCCCCAGGTGCCTTCCAAGTCACCGCATTAACAAACTCAGGGGTGGTCGAAAGGGGTGCGTTAGGAACATCAGGACACCTTCATTGCCCGCATCACTTAGGAGGTCCCAAGGGTTTTAAGAGCTGTGTGGCAGGAACACAGAGGAAGACCGAGTACCTGCTTCTTTTTATAAATCGCGGTGTCACCGATGCATTCTCTCTCCCTCCCTCCTTTTCCACTGCCAGGCTACTACCGCCAGTACCGCCAGGAGCCCGTCAGCTTCGGCAGCATCGGCTTTGGGACCCCCTACTACTACGTGGGCTGGTATGAGTGTGGGGTCTCCATTCCGGGGAAGTGGTAACCCCGGACCACCATTCCGGACGCTTGCCCTGCCCAGCCCCCTTGACTAACTTGCGCTCGGGGCCGAGAGTGGGAAAAGGAAGACGGTGTCCCAAACCCCACTGCCCCGGGTGTCAACAAGGCCATGAGATGGACACTGGATCTTTTGGGCATCTTCAGTCTGGAACTCGACCCAACTTCCTGGCCTGGACCGCACACAGGTTTCAGTGTTGCTGTTAACTGTGCTTCTCCTCATGTTTGCCTATAATGGCACGTCCCAGAGACAACTAACGTGCAGCCACAGGGGGTGCCCACTGATTCAGGGCGATTTCCACACTTTTTAGGCACAAAATTCAGAGCCCTCGGTATCTCCAGGGAACAGCAGAGGCGGCGGTGCTGGCATCAGGAACGTGCCACGCTTTCTTTTTCTCGTTGGACTCCTCCAAAGCTCACTGAATTTAAGCTTCAGATCTCCTTGTACGCGGTAGAACGGAATTGCTAAACTCGCCACCAAAGGAAATGTAGCCTGCTTAAGATTTATCTCGTGGACTTACTCACTGCTAGACCAAATGTATCAAATCTCTGTACATTCTCAATTTGAAATATATATGTATATATGCATATACATATCCACACTCGTCTGCAAGAACGTTGATTAAAATGGCTAAATTTGTACCTGTTCACTAGATAAATGTGTGTGGGACTTCTTGGAGCACAGGCGCTGTTTATTAACCTCTTGTAGAAGTGTCCAAAGCCTGTGTGCTCTGTGTGATATGACCGCGATGGGAAGGTCTGCGTTCTTCCCATGAGCCATGCTGAACTGTGGGAATGCTTGGGACGCTGTGACTCTGGCGGCAAACTAGCTGCACACTGAGCATCTTCCACCTGAGACAACCTTTCTGTCCCCACGTGGAAAATGTGCTAGCTGCCACTATGGGACATATCCAGTAGGTCTCCAGATTGGTTAAGATTTTAGGTCCCAAATCATGTAAAAATCCAGTCTTAAAAAAACTCCTGCTTATCTCAGTATCTACTCCTTGAAATATAAGCATCTTACCCTTCTTGACTGCAGCCCGAGAAGGCTTATTTAAAGACACATTCTTCTAATTCTATTTAAAACGTGGTGTCCTTTCTGTGTGCTTGGCTCCGCCACGTCCTCAGGCGCTCTGTGGATCGAAGGGTTTGTCTTCTCGCGTCAAGTTTTCCGTGTGAGAGAAGCAGGGGTGGGAATGAGCTAGAAGCAAACGCTTTACCACTTAACATAAGTGATCTCACGGCAGAATGCAGTCCAGGCTCCTGGACTCAATTATTGCCAGCGCCAGTGCTGTATTGAAGTGAAACCCGATGTTTCTGGTAGGTTTGAAGGTAAAACTTATAAGGAAACAAGTAACTTCCCGGGTTTTTGTGATGGGGCTGTGACAGCTGACATTTTCCTCAGATTTCACCATCCCTTCTGTCCAGTAAACAGTAAAGAAAATGCAAGCATTCTAACAGCCTTGGAGAATAGCCTATGAAAGCAGGATTATGAAAAAAGGATGTCTAAAAAACACCTTATTTGTCACACCGGTTAACACTCCAACATACTTCACAATGCCAAGCCAAAGATAAGATTTTTAAATTTAAGCAAATTGTCCTAATAAGGACGTAATTTGCTTCCTTTATTTCTCCCCCCCACCCCTCCCAAACTCTGTCTGGTGTCAGCAGCATCTACGAGCCAGCTATTGGAGAGCAAAGAGGCCAGAACGAGGCCCCGTGGGGTAGAGCACCAGCAGATTGCACATTTCCTGAAACTGTTTTCTCGGGTATAAATAATTTATTAGCACGTGCAAGAGAAGAGCCATTTGGTCTGGTCCAGAAGCCTGTCTGGGTTATAGGGCCTCCTTTGGAAGAGATAGCGATCGATCATAGAGGTGCAAGTGACCACTCCTTTGCGACTTGAAGTTTTCGTAACTAAGCAGAGTATTCCCTCCTCATTTCCTTTCCCAAGGGGCACGCTCCCTCAGAAGGATTTTACGCTCACTTCAAAGAAGTACAAAGAATTCACGGGCGTCCACTCATACAATGATTTTCGAGCCCTGCCTGGTAACTTAGACTGTATTTGATTATAGAAATTTGAACTTTTATTAAAATGAAATGTTTGCAACTTTTAATGGAAATTACTACAAACCCCGGATCATAGAGCAGCCAAAACAAAAACACTGAATTTGAGCAGAGGGGGTCTTATTACAAATATTCTATCCAAATTAGGTTACATAATAGTTCAAATGAGTCCACAGTGGGCAGGCATGTAAGTTTCCAGGATTGTGTGAATTCTGCAGGCCGTGTTTTAGGAACGCCATGGGTATGAACACCATGTCGTATCAAGTCAGGAGGATGTTTCCCTAACGAAGGCTTCATCTACTTCAAAGGCTCTGAGGAAGAAGAGAGTTTGCCTATTCAAGAGGCCACAAGTGGACACACGTGAGAATTAAAGGAGTAGAAAATCTGAGTCAGTATGACAAGGAGTTTTAGGTAAGTCCAACTATCAAATGAGCCTCCTTAGAAAATAGTGAGCTGTCTCACTGAAAACCTTAACTCTAACTGGACACGCCTAAATTTGGTGATTGGGGGTCACCCAGCCTATTTTCACATGGCCCATAAACTCAGAATGATTTCTATGAATTTAAAGGGCTGTAAACAAAACGAAGAGACAAGCAAAAGAACAATAGTGGTTTAACTATCTCATCCTATAAGAAAAGGTTTGCATAGCCATGGATTAGAGTTTTCTTGAGGTTTAAAGAAGGTTTAAGCAAATTCTTAACACACTAGCATATGGTACTTAATAGATTTCTGTTTTTCTCTTGCTTGAGTTATGTTTCTTTTCTGACTAGCGGACCTGAACTCTCTGTTCAGCGGTTGGCTCCTGGCATCCCCAGCTTCCCATCTGGCAAGCCCTTTGCTTGTGCTGGCGCCTCAGGAAGTATTATGCTCTTTAGGAGGCTTCATGCATATTTAATATTACTATTTGATGAAAACACAATTTCCACGGTTTCCCAGAGGAGTTGTGACTTATTTTTTCCCTTTTGACCCATTTAAGCCACCTATCCTGGTCAGTCCAGGAGGGTGGGGACTTGGAGGATGGGGTGATGAATGGGGTTAGAATGAGTTTGCCTCTCTCGGCAGGGGACGCAGGTCTTAGTCATGACACATAATTACAAAACGACTCCACTGATAGAATCAGCCCGTGTTTCTGTAACGTCTTTCATGATGGAAATGACTTAAAATCATCTCCTCGAGATGTAACTACTTTGCAATTAGAGATAAGAAGTGAGTTAGAAGGAAAACTTCTTCCCAACCATCTCGTGTCCCAATTCCCAGATTAGGCTGAGCTCAGTAAAACTGCATGAAAACCCAGAGCACACCTGCCATGAGTGGAGGTGTGGTTTTAAATCTTAGTTGTAAGATCATTAATGTACAAAACTTTAAAATCATAATGAGAGCTAAGCACATAAGGATGTATGATAAAAGCGAAGTCAAATTAATAGAGAAATGGAAGCCGATACATTTAACACAAACGAAAAAAGTTTGGTTCAAATCAGGAAAGCAATATTCTCCCAAGCAGGAATTGTTTGTTGGCCAAGAATAGAAATGCCTTTGAGTGTGAAGGAAAGGTTTCATGAGGTTGGACTGAGCCGTCTTGGGACAGGAAGTAACGTGCAGGAGCTGCTTCTAGGCCATGCGGATGACCAGTGCCCACTCAGCTCCACAGGGCACGGAGCAGGGGTGCGTTTGCCTTCAGGGCCCATGGAGGCCCAGGCAGTGGACAGAGTGTTACTGACAAATCACTCATTCACTCAGCAAATGTCAATCGAATCCAAAACACGTGCCAGAAACTCCTCTAGACACCACGACCACAGGATGACCACAACACATCCAGTCCCTGCGCTCGTGGAGACTGCGTCCCAGTGGAGCAGACAGAAACACAAAGGATGTCACCAGATGCCAGCCGGCGAAAGCGAATGGACACTAACGGAGCAGATGGTTGTGTCGTGGGCCAGTGGGTGGAGAGAGCGAAAAGTGCCCTCAGATGCTCAGGACTGGCAAGACCTCGGACGCCATAGAGCTGGAGAGAAGGGAGGCGGGGCCCGGGAGCAGCAGGATGACGCCTGAAACCAAAGGGCGTCTCTCCTGGGACATGGGACCTCAGGCTTTACTTTCTAAAGCAACAGTAAAATAATGCTTATTTCCTGATCTTTGAACTCGGTAGGACTAACCTAATAGACCTATTGTTTTGCTACAAGTTTGAAACCATGAAGAAGAGGTCTTGATCCTGTCCCCACCCAAGTGACTGCTGGTTCCAGTCCAAGTCCAGCCATCAACTAGCCACCCATCTTCAAGATTCAGACATCAACAAGGAAGAGGAGAATCACCCTGCCAGGCCTCGTCCTTCCTCCCAAGTAGTAACTGGGCACTTACTTCATGTTCAGGTGAAAAAAGCGGGGGGGGGGGCCCTTTTGTGATTTTCCCAAGACAAAAGGTATCTACCCCAAGACGAGCTAAAATCTCCCCTCCAACAGAAAAATTAATTGATGTCCATCTTTTCTGGGACCTTGCCATACCAATTTCCACTGCCCGCTGCATTAATTATAAGAGCCATGTTGGCAGCAAGCTCTAACACAGAGCCTGGCCCATAGCAGGTGTTCGATAAATAACTCTTGAATACAAGAACGAATGAGTAAATGAATTGTATTTCTTCTGGGTTCCTTACCTCATTCAGTATGCTGGCCCTGTCCACTCTGCTTCAAAACACAGAGCATTTGAGGCCAGGATCATTTTCTCAAGGAAGTCCCATTGACATGGACAAATTCCTCCATTGTTTGACAATGGTCTTTCATTAGCTTATTTCCAGTTCTGAGACAATGGTTTTCATTTTTGTGATTTTGCGTTTCCATTTAGAAATTGGAAACCTGATACTCAAAATACATTGTCTGCCAATGTAACGTAGAATCACCTGGAATATGAAAGGTAACCCGAGGCTATCAT